GAGCCTCTATTGACTAGAAACATGAATTTTCTGTAAAAGATTATCATTGCGTATAGTTCCTGTTAAACTAGCCCCCCGATTATCAGGGACAGAAATAACCAGCGTTCCTCTGGCAAATTGTTCAAATGAGTTAGCTTAAAAACTACATTAAACTATCTTAGCTTTCAAATGGTGCAAACAAATTTAAAAATGATGTGCTTATAAATGAAGTAGGAAAAAGCATACAAAGTTGTTACGGCAAGTGAAACAGTGAAGTTAAAATTATAGATCCCAAATTTTTGCAAATAAAAGTAAATGAATTTCCAAAGTAATGGATAATTTCTTTCAAAAACTATTTAGCATTGTCTTTCATAGTTAAAATAGAGCTGATCTGATGGCTTTCTAGTGAACTGTACTTAATCAAGAAGAATGTTGTACTAGCTAATGAATTGCTATCATCTTGATATGTATCAGTTACACTTGCTACACTGTTTCATTTTTTTTCCATTCATGATTTTATTGGACATAGGTATTTTTGCATGTGAGCAATTAGATTATGTTTGCTGCCATGTAATGCCCTATTGGAATTCATATGTTTGGCTTATCCATTGAATCCATTTTAGAAAGTGTCTTTCTTTGGAACAATATTTTATTGGAACAGTATTTTGGAACAATAGTTTAATTCTAGTAATATTTGGCTATACATTTGAACAGGCACTTCTGATGTGTCTTCAAACTCCTGACCTCAATAAAGCTATGACTGTTATTGCAACAAGAGCATTAATAACCATGAGGCTAGTTTTTCAAACATGCTGGATGCGTGTAAGATACTTGATTCCTTTGAAAATTTGTTCCAGGAGTCCCAGAGCTGTGTGGTTGCATTTTACATGGGGTTTGTGGCTGTGTTGATGAGACACTGTTCTTCAAATCTCATGAATTTTACTGAACTTAGAAAATGGTTGGATTACTGGTATAGTTCCTGCGCTCTATCAAAACATGGTCATAGGTATGTAGAATCGGTAAAGCTATAATGGAAATTAGTATTTTGTCTACAAGAGGCAGGACTGCCAGGCAGAAGTGATATTTCTGTTGCTGAAAGTCCACAGGGGAGAGGCTTGTAGTTCACCCGTTGAAGGGAGTAAGACCAAAGCCTCTGCCATATTCACATGTATATTGCCTGTAGCTTCTGTGTTTTTCTAGTAGAATTTTCAAAATATCTGTAGCAATTTCTGTAATTTTTATAAATTATAGGATGTGGGGCTGGAGATATCTTAAAATTTTACCAAATCCCTAGCTCTAATCCAGATTCTTCTCTCCAGTGAGGGAGAATAAGCAATCTGAGTAGCTCGTTTCATTACCGTTAGAGAATTCTCTAGCTGTATCTTTTAAGCATATTTCTTTTAAGCATATTGATTCGTGTCCTTCCTGTTTTGTGCCACTCCTCCAGGTCTCTTTGAAGACAGCCTTTCAATCTATAGGAAGACCTGCTGAAGACATTTTATTTTACTTCTCAGCTTTATCTTTTCTACAGGAAAACCCAATTCTTTCCATTTTTATTCATTGGTTACATATTCTAAACATCTTATGAGTCATTCTTGCCCCTCCTCTAATCCATTTTCGATAAGTCTGTAAATATGCATATAACATCCAAAATTAGAAACCATATTCTTTCACAGGCTCCACCAGTGCCAAGTTTATGAAAATAATTGCCTCCGTATCTTATATCTGACAGTTCTGAATACAAGCTAGAATTAATTTTTCTTCTTTTGCAGCAACATTGCACTCTTGATATAATTCACCATAATTCCCCAAACTTCCCCCCGTGCTTGGAAGTTACTCTCCATTTTAATTTTTCTGGGAGTATGTTTTGCAATTGTTTTTGAATATTTCAGCATGATAATGTGGGACCTTCCATCAGTCAGTGTAATTTCAATTCGGATCCCTTCCTTCTGTGTTATTCACAAAAGTTATGTGTGTTTATTCTTTGACAACACAGTTGTTAATTAAAACCTTCGACTGTGGACCCATCATACGTTTCTGCTTTTAAGACAGTATCGGCTGGAGCTGCATAGCATGTTTAACAAAGGTCAAAATAAGCCTCATTTACTCCTCTCCTTTTATCTACTAGGCTAGTTATCCTGTTGAAAGAAGAAAATTACATTGGGTTGACATGATTTGTTTTGGACAAATCCATGGTGGCTGTTTATCATCTTAATTATCTCCAAGGTGCTTATGAGTGAATAGTGCAGTCATTTGTTTGGTATCTTTGTGGGCATCAGAGTGAACTATGTAATTCCCTGAGCTCTCCTTTTTCTCTTCTTATATGATGGCAGAATGTTTGCCTTTCCACAGTCCTCTGGAATCACCCTAGTCCTCCATGAGGTCTCAAAGATGATTATTAATAGGTCAGAGATTTTTTTACACTTTCAGAAGCATTTCATGATTATCTGCTGCCTTGAACATGCGCAGCGTCCCTATATGTTGCTCAGCTTTTATTTACCTAGTGTAGCTTTTTGTTTTTTGTAGCTCTCTCTCACACTATAATAGAAAATTATATCTTTCCTGCAAAGCCCAAACCAGTTCTCCATATGTGAATTATGCATGAATTACATCAGGGCTGAATTAGCAGTGGAACTTCCTATTTATTGTAGGCTCTTATTATTGCTCAGTGGCCTATAGTTGGACTGCTTGCCCAGATGTGCTTGTTCACGTAACCCGTCCTTACCACAGCTCCTACCGGAGTACTGTGGCTACCCTTAAGTTGGTGCTAATACAGTATTAAAATATAAATGCAGGCGTGGATGAATCCCTGATCTAAAAAGGAAAGTGAGGGGTTGTCTGGAAGTGTAAACTCTTTCATGTCGCTGGAAGGTGCATTCTGTGCTGACCGGTACTAACAAAGGACTAATATCCTCAAACCATCTCCTTCCCTCTCTCTTCCTGACTAATCTGCCTGAGACAGCTAGTATGAATGAAGAAAATTTCGTTTGTTCTGTAGAAAATAACCTTCTGAAGTCAGGAGTGAGGATTTGACACGGCTTGGCTCCTTGCACTTAAATATATTTGTTGATATGTGAGTTAATAAAAGACATGCAACCAGTTTGAAATGTTCTGTGGTCTCTGAAGAAGCATTCACTAAGGTAGCTAGCTGTACAAGCACATGGTGAAGTCTGCCTTACTTTAGCATCTTGCATGGAGAAAAACAAGGGAAAAAAAAGGCATTTAGCATTGACAGATATTTAGCATTGAAAAGACATTTCATGCCTCTCAGCAAAGCAGGTCATATTGAAACAGGCATTGTGTAAAAAGCGTGAGACCACCTTAGTAGTCGCTTTATAGCATATGTAACTACACGTGAATAAGAGCATATGGTGACAGCAGTTCTCAGGATCTAACTGAACCAGAAAAAGGAACCAATCCTATAGTTCTCAATGTGAAACAGTCCTCCAGCTGAGAAAAGTGGGACCACATACCTATGTGTTCATACAGCTAGTCAACCGGGCTTCATTTTTTTAGGTTTTGTGTATTTCGTTTCTACTTCTGAACCATGGGTAGATTTAAAAAGAAAGAAGGTAAGTCATCTAAGTCCTTTAATCTCAGAGCCTTGCTTAGGAAAGAGTAAGAAATGCAAAACAAAGAAATGCGTATTTCTGTTTGATTAAGTGCCCTTGTGATGGCAAAGTTTCAGGTGAGCATGGATTGTTCAGCCATTATCAGGTGGACAGTATGGGAGCCATCTATAGGTAGTATCTACATCTCTTTACTAAGGTTGAGTAGCAGAAACACTAGAAAGGAAAAGGGGAAATCGCTATACCTCTTTAATCTCTACAACTCTCAGCCTCTATGGTAGATTTTGGAGTTCCTTGTCCATCTACTTGGAAACAGTCTTAATGCAATGTTATTGCCTCTGTATTTTGCAGAGAATCCACCGTATCCTCACTTCTGGCCTAGCCAAGTACTACTTTGAACCTGGTATTCAGGACAAGTGAAGCAGGTGCCACAGAGTGCTTTTAGTAAATCTGTACCATTCGTGCTGTGTCTGGATTTGAACAAAACTGAGGAAAATTAGTGAATTAGTATGGCGAAGGCTTGGAGTATGAACTCTGTGCAGTATGAACTGCACAGAAACGTCTGGCTTCAGAATCAGCCTTAAATTCTTTGGCAAATGAGCCACATAAGCCTGAGCGTTCTAATGCAAACCACAAATATATTTGACTTTTGCCCAAGTAAAGTCTTTATCCATTGTAATTTGTTGGTGGATGTTGTACTTACCCGTTTCGTTTTGGAAGTAAATCAGACTTTTAAAATGTTGGCTACTTTGAAAACGAAGCCTGATTTTTAAAGCAGTGAGGTTTTCATTTTTTTCAAAAAGGAATTTACAGTCTGTGACTGTTTTTTGGTATAGGTTGAACTATTAGAAAGGAAGAGGAGAGTCAGAGTTCTCCAGCACAATGTGTATATTGACAGTATTCCTTGGAAATGAATACGATTTCATGATTCTGCTAAGTGTTTGATCAGTAGCAGTATTGTCATTTGAAGGCTATGAAAGCCAAGTCACAGAAAACTGAAGCAGTTACACCATAATCATAAGAAATGAATACCAGAGCTGGAAATCAAATCAAGGATGCCTAGGTTCTGCTCTTTGATATGACCTTAATACTCCTGGTCAAAATCTGAGATCTCTATGCGTTTCATATAACAAGATAATAGACAAAAGTGTTGGGTTCCCATTTGGAAAAGGGAAGTATATTTCCATTAAATTCCTAGATAGTTTGCTGGGGGGAGGGGAATATCTAATCAATGAGCTGTATCTTTTCACTCTCGAGTTCCATGGACAACTGGCAAATGTTTTCTAAGTAGACACATTGTATAAATAAAAAAAAAAATGTAGAAGAACAAATACCAGGGACCTTTTAGTAAGGAATCGTGCCAACAGAAATCGGTAGAGAAAACTGAAAGTTGAAATCTCAAATGTATGGTATTTCTTTCCTTTAAGATCTTACTCTTGATCTTCTATTCAGAGTCTTTGGACATATTAGTTACCGTTCCGACTGGGAACTGGTGAAGGTGGACTTCAGGCCATCCTTCCCCAGGGAGTGCACTGATGATGACTATGAATCTTGGGACCTCACAAATCTACAGGTATTCACAATCTTTTATTAGAAGGCCATAACATTTCAGGAGCTTTCAGATTTATGTAGAACTGTGCCCTGTGAAAATATTTTCTAATAGAACTGGGATGCCACCTTCCTGGCTTTCAACTCGTTAGGTTGATATTTGCTGATTTCAGAACAGTTTAAAACGGGCAAAGATTTTGTGTTCCCTTTATTAGTGTGAACTATAGCCTGGGAAAGAGGGAAATATATTCGGTGGTCTGCCATAATAATTGGTGGTCTTGCTGGATTATCAAGCATATATCACAAATTAAAATCTGTGATATTGACTGAAGCAATTTGAACATGCAGTCATATGTTCTTTCAACTTCCTGACCACATACTGTACTCATATATAAATTACCATAAGTAAAACCTATTCCAGAAATAATTTAGAATCTCAGTGAACCAGTCATGTAGTGGAGTCCCGTTGTTTTGGGCAGTACCGTTTCTGCAGTAATGCATTAAGGATGTGCCGATCCTGGTGCTCCAGCCAAATTCAATTTTAGGCAGCTACAGTCTCTTTACAATGCATTATTTAAAGAGCTCAATTTGAGTTTTTTAGATTAAACGTGATATGTCGTATTTGTTCATAATCATTGTGATTATTACATTTATGCTTCTTCCAGTACATTTGTTTTCTCTCTCTGCAGGTTTCTTTTTTGCATGCTATTCAGTATTATTCCAGCTCCCCAACTCTCATTTGCTAGTTTCCATGCCTAATGTTATACTTTCCATTGGGGAATGCTGTGTATTCACTAAGAACGTTATGCAGATCTGAACCTAAACAATAAAAGTGTGTTGGGATACTGACACTGAAGTGTCCTTCAGAAATTAGAAACTACTAAAATGACTTTGGTAGAGTACTTGCAGCTGCTCACTTACCAGTGGAGTGTTAGATTCGATCTGAGTTATATCTGCACCTATGTGCCTGGTGTTTCCTCTTGACTGGCTATTTGATGCATGATGATTTAGATAGAGCTTCAGCCATCTTAAGCAACCCTTGAGTATTTAAATAGCCAATTGTAGAGTTGTGCCTGGGTTGTGCACACGTGCAACGTGGGTTTAATTGCGCTTGAATTTCCACGCGCTCCTTTGGATTTGTGCCCTGAAATATATTTCACTGAGAAATAATTCCATAGATGGGGCATATTCTGCAACCCTGTAATATTTCATTAGCAGATAGCAGCAGATGTGAGAACTTTATAGGCGCATGGAGCTTACAAGGAGCGATGAGGTGAGGAAGAGGAGAAGGCTGAAGCATATGTGCTTCGCTCAGTCACTTGAAAGAAGCATGCATGCCGTGGGTCACAAAGGAAATTCCACCTGTCTTGTGAATAGCACATTCAACTGGGAGAATTCTGAATATCTATTTTTTCCTTTTTTGATGAGTCTGTTTTCTTGCAATCTATCTTAAGTTCCAAATTCATCGATCACATTCCTATAGCTTTGTCATAGGCAACTTGCTATAGATTGCTCTATATCGATGGCTAAGTAGAGACTTGATAAAAGTTTACAGAGTCTTGGCAGCAAAACCAGCCTTTCTCATGACAAACATAAGACCACATCTGTGTGATGTAGGTTATAGTGTGCAATAAATCCAGTGCTTTGATGTTCAGGGTGATCGTTGCATCATGGGTCAACAAAGGAGCTTTCGGAAGAGGAAGATTTCAGCATGGTGCATTAAAGGGAGGAGTTTCACATCAGCTCTCACATCCAAAGTCTGTGAATGTGTGAACACTGACTTCTTATGGTAAGTCTATCTGTGGACTTTTAGATTTATCAGTAGTAAAATGTTACTTTGAGATGTTTTTTTTTTCCTTCCTTTTACCCTCCCACCGCACGTACCAATCCTACAGACAACTAAGAAACGATGCAATGGATTTGAATAATGAGGTGCTTTTGTATTTACTTTTCTTAAAAACATTGCCATTTTTTAAAATATTTTTTTCACAAATCCTGATATTCTTCTCTATTTATTAAGACTTGAAAAATGACCACTGGATTAGATTTATAGAGCAAAGAAATCCTTTCTATTTGCAAATGAAGCAAAAGTCAGAAGAAATGTGTTGGTCTGAGTGGCAAGGGAAACCTTTTAAAAATCTAAGCTGCTAAGAGAGTTAATTTTACAGAACTGGAAAAGTAATTACAACCAGTTTTGCCTGCAGGTGTACACATCTCCCATTGAACATAACTGGCTTCACCAAGTTGTATGTTGAGCTGATACCAGATAGTTTTACAAAAACTCTCCTTTTATCCTTAAAGAAGTAGTCTCATCCACCCTAAATTAGATTCACTAATAAAGCAGGGATAGTAACACACTCAGTGTTGATGTTTTTCAGTGATTATGGGTTTGAGCGTTCTGCACCTCTGAAATCGGACTCTAGTAAATGCTTTGCTGACTTCTGGTTTAACCCAGAAGCACCCCCTGAAGACTGTGTACTGGGACAGGCATATACAAGCAGCACTGGGTAAGCTGATTTTGTGCTTTACCGGCTTGCAGAGCTTTCCAGAGTGGGGAAAACATTCCAACCAAAGGTCACAAAGTGATTTTAAGAAAATTTAAATAAGATAAACTGTAAAAAAATTGTAAAATTGTAAAAAAATTATTTTAGCGCCTTGCTTTGGTTTAGACCAAGTTCCAGTATGAATCCAATGAATTACGGTGAGGAATAAGTAACGTTTCAGAGAACTTCCCACTGTCTCTCACTTCCACAGAGATAGAGTTCTATAAAGAACAGATTCTTTTCCTAACCATATGGGACGCTCAGCATCAAAGGAAAGCTTTAGAGAACCGTAAACAATAGCGCATAGAATATACACTACAGTGTAATCTGACGTCAGTGCTGAGAATAACTTGCAGCTGGCATCTATTCTAGTTTATCGTAACTTCATGTCTGTCAATTGTGGAGATGAGAACCAAATGATGAAACGTCAAATCTGGCAATAGAACCACTGTTTCTGTGTATATTTGCGTTACAAAGGAAAATGATGCCTTTTGGGTTGTGGCTGACAGCTGTGATATACAAAGTTTAAATTCAGAAGAATCAAATCTGACTCACATTTTAAAAGGATACTTAAAAATAACATACCTGACTGAAACTGATCTGTAAATAATTACCATACACTTTGAAGTGTTTCTTTACTAGCTCTTGAAAATTGCTAGGCTTTTTGCTCTTTTAGACATTTACTTAAAATAAATGCTTTAAATGTTTTAAGAAATGCTTAGATTTGACAGCAACAGCAAAGTAATTAGTTCTGGGGAGATGTAGAAGTTGCTTGGTCTAATTTCTTCCTGGTCTTTGGCATTCGAGCCAAGCACATTTAATGCACAGGTAGAATCGGATAGGATTAAGGCCCAAGTCTGGTAATAAATGAGGGCTGCAAAATCCAGGAGCGAAGACCTCTGGAAGAGTATTGAAAGATAAGAAAGCATATGTCAGAGAGGACAGTGGAGTAACTATTTCCTGGTGGACTGATCAGCCATGTTTCTAAATTTGAAAGGACAGACCCTTCCAAAGCATGGAAATGAAATCATCATGCTCCATCCCCTCTTTCTTCAACAGACTTGACTTAGTAGAGGCAACATCTGTCATCAAAGTTTTTGCATTATGAGTTGTTTTCAGTTATCCACAATCTTGTCCATTCATGAACCATTCATTAGCAGCTGTCACACTAGCATTCAGTGCCTCTGGTAGCATTCTTCTGCTCATCTGCAATTCACTGTGCTCACTGCTTACTATTTTTGCAGGTACAGGAAAGTTGTTTCTAATGTGTGTGAAGGTGGCATAGACCTGCAGCAGAACTTAGCGCAACATTTGTGTCCATTGATTGCTCCCAAGGGGCTTCACATCAGCATCAGAGGAGAAAGCCTGGCTGTTAAGCCTGGGGAAGACATCACCTTCGTTGTTAGACAAGAGCAGGTAGTAATGAACACTTTATGAAAATTTCCTCACTGTGTTTAGGGTTCATTACAGACTGTAATTTCTCTTCTACCTGCTTCGCTGTTGTGTGAAATTAATTAGTGCTTGAGAGAAAGAGGAATGAGTCTCTAAGTATTGAAACTTCTGTCCTGACGATCCAGTGAACTCCATGAACCATGCGGTTCCGTCCACAGGATGGGTTTTGTCTCCTCTGCTGCATGCGCGGTCATTGTTCCCTAAAGGCATTAGCTTCTTGGAAAATCCTCATTCAAAGGAACTGAAGTGCCAAAGTCTCTTTGGAGTGAAAATTTCACCTGTTGTATCAGAGAAGAACTATATAGAAATGTACTTCGTGTTGTGATTTAAGTGCTCTTTAAAATCTGCCTTTCAAAAAGGAATAGGCAAAGCTTTACAGAAATGAGCAAATAGTACAGCATAAGAACATGTATTATGTATTAGCTGTATAGCCAAAGAAACATTTTTTTCTGTTTATTGAAAGAGACAATGCCCTGAGGCCCTGTCCAAAGGCAGTATGTAACTTTCAGATGTGCTGCTTGCCCTGGGTACGTTCCTTAATGCTTGCTTTTTAGATACTGGGTTCTAACTGTTGTTCTCAGGCGGTAGGAGTATTGTACTTCCTGGCTGACCCTACTGATCTGCAAGAACTTGAAGTCAGTTCAGACATTTTGGCAAGCCTGTGTGACATTAATCAGGGACTTGGGATTTATTTCTGTGGTAGAATCAATAGGGTTATGTGCAGAACACAGTACTGCTTAACACATAGCGGGTTCTGGATCCAAATGCTTGCAGTGCACTGACAGTTGCATGGCACACTGTACTTCCTTCTCTTTTCTTAATTAGTTTTGAATTACGTTTACTGTAAGAGTAGAGCATTTGTTGTAATTTGGGATCTGATGATCTTGATTGGAAGTTAGACTTTTTTCCCTACGGTATAGATTCTGAAGCTTTCATGAATCTTTGTGGCAATATGTAAAACACTTATAACTATTCAAAAATTTTCAAAAGTCTGAAAGGGAATCCTATGCTTTCTTTTCTGGTGATAGCTTTACTCGCTGCATAGAACTGGATGGAGATTTACAAGAAATGTAACCGTTTGCTGCCCCCTATGGCTAGGGATCAGTATTTATACTCAAATGTCCTGAGCATTGTTTAAGATTTAATATATATAGCAGTCTCGTGAGAATTCATAACAATTAGTGAGTTTAAGAAGCAGGTCCGCTAAGATAAACCAAAATATGCTACTATCTCTGTCTGAAGAACAATATTAAATTTCTGGTTTATATGAATGCATGTTCCTAGGTGCAGGAGTGCTAGGCATCAGGGAGTAAAGAAAGCAGTTCTTCTGGAGCAATGTGAAAGTGACTCCAAAAATAATAAGAATAAAATTAGTTTTTCCATATTATATTGGATGGAGGTATGAATCGTGAATGCCATGAAAATAACTATTTTCAGTGGAATTGGAGGGAAGTCCCAATTCCTGTTAGATTTAGCTGCATTTTTCCTATGTGACTCTTTTGTTTTCTGTCTGTTACTATCTTTCTTCCCAGGCCAGGGAAAGA